ATTTTATCATCTGAATTTTTGCCGACACCAAGTTAATATTGGAAGCCCAGCTTTGTTTCATTTTAATCAGATGGAAACAAACTGTGAACGGACCCTGCCGGTGTTATTTACGACTTATATAGCTTTCATTCATAATGTCAGCCGGAGGGAGGGGGGGCGGCGTGTGGAAGAGCAGAGTGGCGAGTGAGAGCTTTCATCTTCCCTTTACGAGCTTCAAACATGTATTTATCGTGTGATTTTTTAAATAAAAGTTTCATATTGTGAAAGCCAAGACTTTGTTTATTTAAAATCAAACAAAAACACCCGAACCACACATTTTTTTTTTTTTTTTTTACACAAATCCACGTTTATTAAATGAGCCGTTGCGACTTCCGACTGATTGATTTCGATAGAGCGGGTCACAAATGTCAAATTAAATCAAAAATAATGCAACATTTTCATCTGCTCCTACCTACGGCTGGAGTTTGTGTTGAGGTGAGTGCTGGCGAAGCTCTGGTTGCGACGCCCAGCCTTCAGAATCTTCCAAGCTTCGTCAGCGCTGCGGACCTGGATCCAGGCGAGGTCTGATACAACAAGAAGAGGCAAAGAAACATGAGGCGACACCAGAAGCAGCAACAAAACATGTTTTATGTTCTTGTGTAGACATTTTAGAGTATCCATGAAAAAGCACACATACAAAGTAGCAGAGAGTTTCATGTTCTATTAACATTTTACCTTTCACATAGGGGTTGCCCTGCTTGTCGTCACCAAGCCGCAGAGTGACCCTTTTCCTGGGCTGCAGGGAGGGAGAGGCATCGAGCAAATCATACAGGAACTCATTGTAGATCTCGAAGAAGGACACCCAGATAGAAAACTGCACCCCTTCCTCCAGATCATCCCCTCCGCTGTGTGACAGGCTGTCAGGCTCCAGACACACACTGTCTGTGTCTGCAGAGAGAGACATGGTTATCAATGGAAGTTTTTTGAAAGGTTTTTTACAATTGCAGTTATGATTTAAATGAATCAGAGTCAGGGTCTAAATGAGTAATCATAAAGTTAACTGGATGCATGCTACAATATCATCTGGTATGCAATTACAAACTAGAAAGCTTGTGGGCTTTTCTTATAAACTCTGTAATTAGTCAACAATGTCATATGCAGACTTCTTACACTATACTGTAACATCAGCCAACATTTTCCCAAACAATATTTAGACCCTCCAGAAAAACGCGATTCTGCGATCGCAGAATTTACCGCATAATCAGCAAAATGGTGCAGATTTTTAAAAGGCCGCATAATCCCGCATTTTTCCACACAAAGTTGAAAAAAAAAGAAAGTTAACTCGTCTTGACGTGATGTCATCAGCTCGCGCATCACAGAATGTAAACAACACTGTATAGAGTGAACGTGTGGAGCTCACACGATAGAGAAAACACCAAGATGGAAAAATCTAATCCATCTCATTTACCGACGAACATTTCTACTAAAGACCGGGCAAAAAGTGGGGGGAAACTATTCTGCACCCCGTGCAACTGTGTGTTGGAGCATAAGAGAAAATCGACGGTGACGACCCACTTTGATTCATTCAAACATTCGAAAATGCTTTCTGCTGCTGCGGACAAGAAAGCCATTCAACTCACGTTCACCGAGGCATCAACCTCCAAAACCCTTTCGAGGGCTACAAGAAACGAAGTGAGTAGCCTACAAGATTGAAGCTGGTCAGATAACGAACGAGTAAATGAAAACAGAATGAGGCGGAGAAGTGTGTGTGGGGGGTACCTTGTCACCATACCAAAATTTTGTGGTTTCGGAGCGTCGTCTCCTGTCTTAGAGTCCACTTGATAAAGTACACATAAACTGGACACAATTTGGTTCGTTCAATTACTTATATAAGTCAGTACATAACAAAAATAACGCAAGTCCTCCTAAACAGACGGGGGTGACCGCCCCGCTCGAGAGTCCTCGTTTCTGTTAACAGACACTGTCGTTGTATTCCACTCGAAACTCTTTTCATCTTCAGATACCGAGTTCTCTTCATTCTTTCACACATAACACTGTCCACTCGTATTTATCTGGGAGGCTTTTTGCGGCCGTTTTAAGAACTAATACGCTAATTTTACGACGCCCAAAATACACTACAAATTATCCCCACCTTTACGCCCTTCACGCGTTTATACCGCCTTTTTCCTTATTGGTAAAAAATTTATAACCCGACAGAAAAACAAGAGAGTGTGTGTTGGACGGTGATTGCAATTTGGGAATGATAAGTTATTTGTGAAGTTTACAAAATAAAAACATTTTCGGTTAGACGCCGATAAAATTAGTGTGGTGTGGTGTAGTGTGTGTGTTGGTTGTGGTGTGTGTGGTTGTGTGGTGTTGTGTGGTGTGTGTGTGGTGTGTGTGTGTGTGTGTGTGTGTGTGTGTGTTGTGTGTGTTGGTTGGTTGTGTGGTGTGTGTGTGTGTTGTGTGTTGTGTGTGTGTGTGTGTGTGTGTGTGTTGTGTGTGTGTGTGTGTGTGTTTGTGTGTGTGTGTGGTGTGTGTGTGTGTTGTGTGTGTGTGGTGTG